ATGTTTTTTTAACTACCCTTCGCCCTCTGAGACCTAACATTGAGAACTCACTCTATGGAACATTACAGCAACTGCAGCAAACCTGCACTTATCACTACATGGCATTGGAAAGAAGGGCGAGAGCCCAGCTGTTGATGGATCAATAGCAACAACTTTAGCAATTACAATAACAACAACAGCAACAACAACAGCAACAACAACAACAACGGCATTGGACAGAAGGGTGAGATCCCAGCTGTTGCTGGATCGATAACAACAACATCAACAATAATAATAATAATAAAAAGCATTTGTATAGCACATATCCCCACTTGAAAGCAAACTCTTTGCGCTTTACAACATGTTTTATGTGGGGGGTTTTTCATTTCAGCGGAAGTGAAAGGCAAGGCGGAAGTCCTGACCTCGCACACGACCCACCCAATCTGGGCGTTCGACAAGTGCCAACCGGAGAACGAGTGTCAGAACCAGCACCACACGTGCAACCCGGACACGGAGGACTGCTACGACACACTCGAGTACTTCCGCTGCGAGTGCAAGCGCGGATACGTCATGAACGCCGTGTAAGTCACACCCGTCACCTGTCTCTCGTTGCCGATCACCTGTCGCGTGTTTGCTGCTTTTTATTCCCATTGCAGTTTCGATCTGACGTTTTTCTTTTCTTTTTTTGTTTTGTTTTTTTGTGCGAAATGACTTATTGTAGAATGTATATGCCTGTCTTTACTCAGCCTGTCTAACTAGCAAGAGAAACTGAGCTGTTGAGCCACTAGGTCTATGCCCTCTGCAGCTTTTTTCAAGTTTTCATATTGTAGCTTCCGTTCATCATTTTCTTTTTGGATTTGCCTTCCTGTACTTTTAAAAATTGGAACCTCTATCATGATTTCTTATGGGATGTTACGTCATATTTTCTTTTTTTTTTTCCAGATCTTTCTTCATTTATTAATATTGTTGTTTTGTTGGATCTTACTTCATTTTTCCATATTGTTGAATTTGAATTGGATCTTGCTTCATAACTTCTTATTGGATCTTTCTCATAATTTTTTAAATTGGATCTTACTTCTTGGTAGGTCCTACTTCTTTACTTTCCCTCTGTTGTGGCTGTCTGTCTTACTTTTTCACAGCACTAAATGACCATTATAGTGTCGATGTGCTTCTCTCTACTCAAATAAACAAATTACTGGAGCTAGTTTTTTAATGTTTTCTTATCATGTCCCTCTTCGTTTGTTCCCCCCCCCCCCCCCCCCCAAACACCTAGAACTCCTTCTTTCCTATCAAACATGTATCGTCCTTATGTCTCATCCTTCGTGTATGTTTGTTACTCTCTTGTAACACCTCTATTTGACCTTATTGTGTTGCAAGTGCCGTAAGACATTTACTAAAATTACTGAAACTAAAAACTGCAAGCCAGTGTTTCACGTTTTCTTATCATGTCCCTCTTCTCTTCGTTTGTGTGTCCCCCCCTCTCAGCACCAAGAACTGCGAGCCAGTGTGCCACCAGGGCTGCGTTCATGGCAGCTGCGTCAAGCCCGACGACTGTCGCTGCGACTTTGGCTGGGTGGGCAGCAACTGCTCCGTTGAGTGCCAGTGCAACAAGCACAGCAACTGCCAGAGCGTGCAGCTCAACAAAGTGTGCACCAAGTGCGAGAATAACACCATGGTAGGTCGTCCGTCATCTGTTTTATCATTATCTTTGTCATCATCATCAACATCGCTATCTTTGTCATCATCATCATCATTGTCTTTGTCATCATCGTCATCTCCATCATAATCATCATCGTTGTTGACAGCTTGATGATAAAAATAAGGAAAAAAATTGGTGGAGACTGTACAGTGTCAAAATTTATAATACTGAAAAGGATACTGAGGGTTTCATCAGGAACTTGAAAATAATAATGACTACACTGTGGAAACAAAATTATGCAATCATCATCATCATCATCATCATCATCATCATCGTCATCATAGACCAAACTACTTTCCTTTTATTTTGTTTTGTTTTTCTTGAAGCATAAGAATTTGTACCATGTTGGCACATTTTTACGTAACCTACAAATATTGGCACCAAATCAGGACACGGAAAAAAACAACCCCACACGTACAATTTCAGTATGTAGAGAAGATCACGCAAACCAGCAGATTGATGATTGATAGGGAGAGAGCAGGATAATATGGGGCTTTTTGTTAAACCATCTGATCTGAGAACTAAATAGTGCATCATGATTGCCGCCTTTTGCGTCAGATTTGACTCTTGAATAGTATATCATCTTTAGACGAGTGTCTTTATATTTTTAAATCATAAATTTTTCTACTAAGAGAAAATCTGAATGGAAACTTCTGCTGGACTTGTACTCTTCGCTGGGGAGCTCTCGTGGCCTAGAGGTTAAGGTGTTCGCCTCTCATTCAAAGGTCCCGGATTCGAATCCGGGTAATGACAGAAACATTTTCTTCTCTAAAATTTTCTCCTTTCACATCCTTTCCTGCTCTTTAACAGTGTTCTGTCGTCTGCTTTCGTCTCCACTTTCTGCCTCCACCCCGTCACCTCCTTTTCCTCCTCCTCTGGGCTTCTGACTCTTTCTGCAGCCTTTCTACTATTTTTCCTTGGCTTCTTCTTACTGCTGTCTTTCTGCCACACCCCTGTTCTTTGGGTAGGAAAGATCTACTCCTAGTCTTCTCAGACAAGGGCGAAAAATCTTGGAGGTCCCGTGTGCAAGTTGTGCACGTTAAAGATCCTTTGGTGGTCTAAAATCGATAAGGGTAGGCTTCGGCCGCCTCCTGCCCAAAATTCAAAATTTCCTACCAACTGAAAATGTTTAATTTGTCCGGCGCGCTCATATGACCTTATGCAGTTTCGAGCGCCGTAAAACACTTACAAAAACAAACAAACAAAACTCTTTGCTGTTACTTCAGTTCTCATGTAGCCTATCCTTCTCCCCCTACCAGGCTGAAGGGCTAGAACTCTGATGGCTACTGGATCGGAAAAGTAAAAATAAAGTAAAGTAAAGTAAAAGTATCTTTCTATGCACAGGGCGAGCACTGCCAGTACTGCAAGCCAATGTTTGTGGGCGACCCCAAGAAGGGCGGGCGCTGCATGCCGTGCCGCGAGTACTGCAACAACCACACGGACATCTGCATGACCCAGCATGAGCACGACCTCTCGCTCTTCAACAACCTCGACTCCTTCGACCCGCACAACAGACATAGCCCCGTGAGTGACCACTGCAATGTTCAACCACGCTTGTTCAGTTGCGGCTCACCATCAATTTTCTGATGTTTGGGATTTTAGAGATTTTTTTTTTTTTTAAGTTCTCTCTGTTTAGGTTGCGATTTGTTAACAAGTTTCACTTTTTAAAAAAAAGTAACAATTGAATTAACAAATATTCATCTTATCAAGTGAATTTCAACTGTTCCACTTTGAATATTCCCTTGAGTTTTTGAAGTTCTATTTCTTAAGTTTTCTGTTTGGTCCTGATAATAAAACAAGTGCAGCATTTTTTCAACATTTTTTAAGCAAATTGTTAAAAGAGGGTTACTGAGTGTACTGTCCAAAAGTCATTCCAAGTCTTTATTTATTTATTTATTTTTTTTAGATTAAAGAGATGTCCAAATTGTTTGTCAGAACACAATAGGGTGTTTGTGCTTCACTATTTGTATTTGTATTTAAGTGAGCAGAGCCAGTGTTCTTTAATTAGAGCTGAGTAATATATGTTTTTCATATTATTATTATGGTTTTATATTATTATTATTATTATTATTATTATTATTATTATTGCTATTAGTTATTATTGTTATTATTACTGAGTTTGGCTAGATAGTCCTGGCTGGGTAGTCCCTATCTGTATTTGTGCCTTATCTTTAGTGTTACTATGGTGGTATCGATAGTCCAGTGGTTAGGCCACCAGACTCGTAATCCTATTGTTAGTTCCGGCGTTTGAGGCTTTACTTGATCTGAAGTTGTGTCCGTAGGAAAGGCACTTCACACAAACATTACCATTTGGCTCCGTCTTATCCCAGATGAATTTGTTTGAAATTCAGAGATCTTGCTTCTTAAATAAGCTGACAGTGTTGAAATTTGAATTAAACTTACACAATTTCATTTTTTTGGGTACAGCATTACTATCACATGTTGGTGTAAATAAGCTTAAATAAGCTGACAGTGTTGCAATTGGAATTAAACGAACACTTTTTCATTTTTTGTACAGCGCTGCTACCCCATAGTGGTAAATAAGCTTAAATAAGCTGACGGTGTTGCAATTGGAATTGAAGTTACACAATTTCATTTTTTGTATAGCGCTACAGTGTTGCAATTGGAATTGAAGTAACACAATTTTATTTTTTGTATAGCGCTACAGTGTTGCAATTGGAATTTAACTTACCCAATTTTTTTTTTCTTTCCCCCCCAGCGATACTACCACATGGTGCAGAAAGGCCCCCACAAGAAGGAGGCGGTGTGCATCAGCTGCCAGCACAACACCACGGGCGTCAGGTGTGAGCGCTGTACCAGTGGGCACTTCCGCAAGGCTAGTGAGCCCAAGAGCAAGGCCTGCAGAGAGTGAGTAGCTACAGTGTGTAGTTTTGTAGGAAAGGAGAGGTGGAGGAGGGAATGGAAGAAGTGAAAGGGGTGGGGGAATGAGGGGAAGGGAGAGAAAACGGAAAATGAGGAGGAGAATAAGGAGAGATGCAGAGAGCGAGTGCCTACGCATGTAGGAAGGGAGAGGTTGAGGAGGGGATGGAGGAAGAAAGAAAAAAATGTGGCTTTCTTGTTTTCTATCCTTCTTTTGTTCGTGTGTCTATCCGTCTGTCTTGTTCTTTTCCCTGCATTTAATTGTGTAGATTGTAAAGGCCCATAGAGCTCGTTGTTCAGTGGAAATTTGCGCAATGCAAATGCTAGCTATTATCCATTAATTGACTTATTGTTTTGATTCACCTCTCTTTTGGCCAAACTAATCCTAAACACAGACTAAACTGTGTTCTCTCTCTCTCTCTCTGTGTCAGTGTGTGTGTGTGTGTTTGTGTTTGTGTGTGTTCTCGTGTTCTCTGTGTGTGTGTGTGTTTTGTGTGTGTGTGTGTGTGTTTTGTATGTGTGTGTGTGTTTGCGTGCATTCTGTGTGTGTGTGGGTGTGTGTGTGTGTTTCTGTGTGTGTGTGTGTGTGTGTGTGTTTGCGTGCATTCTGTGTGTGTGTGTGTGTGTTTCTGTGTGTTTCATACGAAGCAACTGTTTGTTCTCAGGTGCCACTGCAACGGCCACAGCAACATGTGTAATGCGGACACAGGGGAGAACTGCAAGTGCAGCAACAACACAGAGACCAACTGTGACGCCAAGGATGAGTCGGAGTGCTGGGAGCTGCAGGTGGGTGCTGGTGGAGGATGGGGAGTGGGGTTGGG